CCTACACCTTTCGCTATTTAAAAATCACTATACAAGAGTGAACTACATATATGTACGAGTATACTAATATCATAAAGAGGAAAGATTTGTATTTTTGACCGACTTCTTGTATATATTCGGTCCACGTAAAAACTATCAGGTCGGTTTTTTAAATTCTCTCACCATTAGAAAGGCAACTTATCTGTGAGTAATATCGGCTATATTTGGTTATTACTAATGCTTAGGAACTACTAATAACGAACGTAGCGATTTGAGACATCGTTTTTCGTGCACACAGCAAAGGAATGGAGCAAGTTGCCACCTCAGTTTTCCCGTCCAGTTATGAAGTGGGTGTCTTCAAGAGCAGGTTGAATCGGCACTTATTGAGCTAGCGCGCATCCATCCTTCGGCCGCGTCTTCACTTATAGCTTAGAAAGAATAGGCGCTAGTTTATTTATATTAAAATATTAATCCTTATCCAAATTAATACGTTTGTAGTCAGGAGAATTAATTGCAGATTAATATTGTCCTTTACAGTATTTAAATTGGACAAATGCTTTAGAAGATATCGCGAACATAAACAATAAGGGTAACCGAAAAATCGGCTCACAAGCTACCGGGCTTAGAATTTTTGTATCTGGCATCAGTAGATTTATGTTATTACGTAGATTACTACTAAGATAATACTTTTGGTAATAGGTTTAAAAAGAGGCAAACGGAAATTTTGAACTTTTACACTGCCCGCCGACAAAGTCGTGGGCAACACCTAGTATAAGATAAATTCCATATACTTCTTGAATCTTCGAAATTATTTGAAATTGTTTGATTTTTTTTTTTAACATCAATAAACCAGCGCTTGACTACGACTTCACCTAACCTAAGTGAAGACGCGGCCGAAGGATGGAGATATCCAGGTGATTTTTAACGAACGGATCAACATTTTTGTGTAGTTAGGCCTCAATAGCTATCGTATAAGCGCAAAGTATGTTGCCCGATTTTCTATACTTTTAAAGTTATTTATTATTTGTAAAAAAATGGTGGTCATTTTTTTCTTTAACAAGCTTAATAAACTTTCGTATCGTTATCCCTTTTATTTGAATAAGTCAAACGAGAACAAAATATTAAAAAAACGTTGAAAACTATCTTAAAACAAAATTTCTTTCTTTAACCTTAAGAAGCTGTATTTTTTTTACACCAACTTTTATCCTACAAGTTTTTTTCAAAAACTGCGCCCATGACTGTAGAATAAAAGCAAAATAAAAATATATTTCGCCTTTAGTTTGTTTTTCATGTAAAAAGAACGATTTAAAATTGTCGAGGGCGACAATCTCTTGTAGCTTCAATTTAAGAAGTTTGTATGTTTTAAATGAAAAAGTTAAAGACCCTGCTTTATGTTTTGTGTAAAAGCTACAAGAGATTGTCGCCCTCGACAGTTTTAAATCGTTTTTTCAAAAAATTTCACAAGTTGCAATAAAAATGTACATCTATACTAATATTATAAAGAGAAAAGATTTGTATTGTATTACGTTCGCCCCTTTTTTTCAACTTATCACCTATAGTATTAGTAGTAATCAACGTAATAATAAAAATTTACTGATGCTAGATTCCAAATTTCTAAGCCCGGTAGTTCGTGAACTGATTTTTTTGGTTACTCTTATTGTTTGTGTTCGCGATATCTTCTGAACTATTAGTCCGATTTAAATACTGTGCAGGACAATTTTATTTAAATTAAATTCTCCTGACAGCAAACGCATATTTTTTGTAATTGCCATATTATCTGTTAATCTTTGCAATCCAATTACTTACCATCTAGTTTTTTCCTTACCTCTGACATACGCACGTTCTCCGTTGAGAATAATAGTTAAGCTAACACCTACCTTCTGTATTATTTTCTGCAAGTCGCTCGTCACTCTGATATAATACATGTCTATCTGTGTAGAGCCGCAGCAGC